GTGATGGGGGGCGGCCCGAGGGGCTGGGAGAGGGTCCGGCCCACGCTGCGCCTGGGCTGGGACTGGTCCCGCAGGCGCAGGGTAGCAGGAAACTCCGAGGGCTTACATTTTAACCCTCTTTCATTCTTGTTTTATTTTCTTTTTGTTTTTTTCAAGGAATCTCTTACTATTAGAGGGATGACTTTCAGTGATGATATTTAGACAGGGAATCAGAAAACTAGGAGGGATAATTTCAGTTTTACCTCATGATAAGCCTGGTGACCTTTCTCCATTTCAAATGCATAAGCTATGGCAAACCTCTCCTTCAAAGTAATAACATTCTAGTTAACTACATCACCCATTAGGGATGTGAGGAAAAGCAACATAGGGAGGAGTTTAATGTTAATTAATAATTATACAGGCAGAAATTAGTAGAGCCTGTTATTTATTTAACATTTGGGCAAGACTTCCTTTCACCAGGAAGTCTATAAACATGTTTTTCCCTGGAGTTGGCTTCTACAGCTCAGTATTTATGTAGTGATCTTTTGAGTAGAGCTTTATCTGCTTAAAACTTTAAGTTTATATGCTTCTGGAGAGTAAAAATCGTAAGTAGGCACTGGAACATGTGAGGTTTGTACTTTCATTTGTTTTGCATTAATTTATCATGACAAGAAGTCCCAGCCAATGTAAATGTAAACTAAAAGTATGGTGAAAGCTTAAATTTTAGAAATGTATTACAATGTAATAAATACACATTGCCATGAATTCCCCTCAAAATCATCCCCATCACTTTGAGTACACTCGACCCATACGCCTTGCCACCTTCTGAAGAGCAGCCCTGGAGTCCTCTTTTATCAACGTCTGTAGTTGCAGTGTCAAGGCTGCCTCCACTTCCTGGGTCCATTTAAAAAGCTGACCTTTTCATGGTTGTTTTGACTTTGAGAAAGAACCAGAAACCACATGGTTCCAGATCCATTCAACAGGTAGAAGGGGGCACACAGCAAGGTTTTTATGAGACTGCCTTTAGCTTTGATGATACTCAATAATAGCATTCACCATATTTTTTTTAATCACACTTTGTAAAACTCACAAAAGAAAACTCTCAGAACTGTTTTATAAAATGTCAAAAATAATGCGCAAGAGTGCTGGAAGCAAAGGGAGGCTTCTGAAGGGGACTGATGGCAATGTCTTTCACTACAGCACTTTTTTTAAAAAAAAAATTAACATTCCTTATGTGTTTTGATCACTCATTGCATGTCTACTGAATTCTCTCTTGCTTCAACTCTCCAAAGTCATTTAATTGCCGGACTGAGAAATTTTCTAGAAGTCAAAGAAAAAAATTTCAAAACTGTACTTTCAATCTTGTACATCAATAATTAGTGCATATTTAATTTTAGAACTCAGTGAGACTTCTCCATCACAAATCAAGCTGATACTATGACCAGACCATTCCATACATGAAACATTCAAAAATACTCACGTCCACTGGCATGTTTGAAAGCGCACCATAGTCCTTAGGGTGGACGATCGATATTGTGAAGGTTGCTTTTTTGTTGGGCTCATCAAAGCAGGGGAAGGATTTCCTGGCATCTGTAGGCTCATGATCAGTGGCTGCGATGCTCCTGAGAAACAAACACAAAGAAACAAACACAAACTCACGCACGCCGCCTCCACCCACAGCCCTCGGTTCCTCTTCCTACAGCAAACAGTGAACTCACTGCGCAGTCGCAACCATCACACTGCTTCACTTCAGCTTCCACCTAGAGAACACCCGAGTAGCTGGCAAAGCACTCCTGGATTTTTAAGGTTAACGAATACATGAAAATCTGGAGACAGACAGCTTCCAATATTTAGATATTTTGCTGCCATAACTGAAAATCTGTGAGATGAGCAAAAATAAATCTGATGATGAGCTCTGACTCTCTGCACCCCACTGCCATGGAGCAACAAGGGGACAAACACAAAGCCAAACTCAAAGGTTCATTTCTAATGAGGGAGGGGGTGGTGAGCAGCTGTGTCCCAACACGAGGGGGAGGAGTACCTCCCAGCATCCCCAGCTCTTGCCCCTAATGACACATTCTTTCTAACTTATGCTACCTTGGGGACAGAAGCCTTGGTTTCACTTCCATGGGAAGAAGGTGCTGAGTAATCTCCCAGGTTAAGTAAACTTCGACTTGCTGGAAAGCTCACTTGGTGGGGCTTGGGGCATAGTGCAATGGGAGAACACAAACAGCATGTGCAAGGCCTCAGGTTCAACCTCCAGTATCAAAATATATATATTTTTTAATTTTAAAAAACTAGTCTTCAAAAGAGACAGCAGCATTATTTATGATTCTGCCTAAGCATATGCTTCATTCGCTAAAACATTAATGCTTACTATTTCTATAATTTCAAAGTGAAAATACTATTTTCTAAACAATTTGCTGGAAAAGTCAATAAACATGCACTTTTTACATGTAAATATATTATATTAAAACAACAGTGTTGTGTATTTGTTCATTGGAAAACTAAGCAAGATAAAAAGTATAAGAAAGGGAAAGTAGAGAAATGTTGATTTATATTCATCAATAATTCATATTAGAGAAATATTTTGTCTTCAGGATTTTCCAGCATTAAGCATATCACAAAGAACACCAGCTCATCCATTCATCCCACAAATGTGGAGCCCCATCCTTAACACACACACACATACACACACACACAACATGTGCAGACACGCATGTACACACATAAATAAACACACAGTTGCAGCATTATTCTAAGAGCTGAGGAAACAACAAAGACTGAATCAAGCAGGTCTCTGGCATTTTCTGAGACAGCCAATAATAGACAAGTAAGTAATCTGGGATGGTGATGAGAGCTTTACTGAAAATAAAATAGAGGGAACAGGGGAGATGGCTCAGTAGAATAGGCGATTGCCTGGCAAGCACAAGGGCCTGAGTTCAATCCCTGGTTCCACCAAAAAAAAAAAAAAAAAAAAAGAAAAGACAATAGAGGTTGTGAGGAAGGCTGACCCAGGAGAAGGGCCGAGCAAGGTGAAGACACTCTTGCAAGGGCAGCCCTTGGAATAGATGATGTCACACAGAGGTCAGTGTGTGGAAGAAGCCAGACAGGTTAAGATTCAAGGAAGGGTGTCCTAGTGGAGAAGACAGTAGAGAGTGAGTCTCTCTGGTGAGAAAGAACTGTATGCAGTTGAGGAATTCGAGGTGCCCTGCGCAGTTTGACCCTATAGGACCACAGGACTAAGACAGAATAGCCTGGGTGGTTGGAGAAGCCTGGCTCAGGAGAACAGTGCAGGCCTGGGAACAGTCTACATTTGGTTCAAGAATTTATTATAAACTCTGATTTATCTAGAAAGCAATGAGCCATAGCTCAACATCCATCTATGAGAAATAGTAACTTTGGGGTTTTATTTCCCCCAGAACCCTTCTAGATACAAAACAAACACTTGTTAAAATCTTGGCCAAAACAACAAATGTATGTAAAATAAGTATAACCAGAAAAGTGGCTGTCTTTCAAGGACCTATTGAATGGAGAAGGGAAATTTCTTGACTGTGGGCAGCAAAGATGCAGGCATTTGTCAGAGCTCATCATGCTGTGCTCATTAGGGGTGTGTGTTGCTGTGCATATGAATTTCATCTAAAAATGATCAGTAAATATCAAACTCTATAACTAAGTATCCAGTGCTATGAAATATTTTTGTAGTGGCTCTGTTTTAGCCATTTGGAAGCAACTCTCTCTGTTCTAAGTTTGGCAAATGAAAAAAAAAAAAAAAAAAAGAAGTAGAAGATCACCAGAGGTGGGGCTGCCCTGCTGGACAAGGCAGTTATGTGTGCAAAAGGACAAACACAACAGACACTGACATGCCAAACTGTACCTGTAGGTCTCAGTGCGAATTCCAAGCTTTTTAATAAAGACAATGGTCTATAGAAATGTGCACAAAGGAATACATATTTCCTATTTTTGCCTGGCATGCAGTGCTAGGAGCAGAAAGTAGCTTCTAGTCTGGAGCAAAGTTAATTCCCAGAAGATGATTTCAAGATACTGCTTCCCACTAGAGGAAACCAGGACTCCATGCAGAAATAGCTGATTCTAGAGCTGGATCAAGAGCATTCCAGGATGACCTTGGGATAGCTTTGTCTGCCAAAAGGGAAGTACGTCAAGGATTATGGGAAGGAGTCAAAAGGACACAAGGGCCTGCTGGACAGGATCACCACTGGCCAAACCTGGAGGAGCTGAAACATCACAGTAAATCATAGGATTATAGCCATTCAATAATCTAAGAACCCAAACCCCGATTTTTAAATGAATAAATAGAAGAGAAGGAAAAGCTCTTCCTTGAGTAGGTTACAGACCTACTTAACTTTAGGAGTGATAGATTTAGAAAACCACCAGTGGATACCTAAACAGGACATGGTGTTGCGTGAGGAAGGTATATTTACAGATTTTCACAGAATTTCCAGAGAAATACTTATGAAAAGAAAATCTCACTTTAGGGGCAGCAACCTGTTGGATACTCCCCTCAACACATGATTAAAGGTAGCACCCCCAAAAATTATACAAACAAGTAATATGCGTTTGCTGATGTCATTTTTCTGAAAGCGACACAGCATCACTCCTGTGGTATTCCTGACAGAGAGCCTTAATTTGCATTTTAAAATTATTTAGTTTAGACAAACAAATTGAAGAACATTTTAAAAACAGCTAACTTGTACTCTTCAAATACCAGCATGGGGTACGAGCCTAATACTCCAGGCCTCCGGAGTCTGAGGCCAGAGGATAGTGTGAGTTCAAGGCCAGAGGATAGTGTGAAATGTGTAGCAAGACCTCATCTCAAAAACAAAAAACAAAGCTATGGAACTGTTCCAGTTTGAGTATAAATAAGCAAGGTACTAGATGCAAGGCATGACTCCAAAACAGATATTGGGCTGAGAAACTTTATAGAATATTGTTGGATTCATCAGTAAAATATAATTGTTGACTACAGATTATATATAGAACTGTGTCAATGTTAAAACTCATTTTATTTTTAAAAGTTCTTTTGGTACTGGAAATTGAACTGAGGACCTTGCACTTGCCAGGCAGGCACTGTGCAAACTTGCTGATTTTCTGCACTTTGGCTACATTAGAAGATGTCTCTGGCCACTTGTCCATCTGGCTTCTGTATCTTTTAGCTAAGGTCAAGGGAGGGAGGGGGGAAGGAGAGAGGGAGGAGAGAGGAAGGGAGGGAGGGAGGCAGAGAGAGAGATGCCAAGTAATTGGTGAATGTGGGCTGACTGTCTCTAGAAGTCCCACATACTCTTCTAACTTTTTAGCAAGTTGAAAACTATCTCGAAAACTACTCTGCTGGGGATATAGCTCAGCAGCACAATGCCTGGAAAACATGAGCCCTGAGTTCAATCCCCAGTACCAAAAACATCCCCCCCCACACACACACAAAACAAAAACCACTTATCCAAGAAAAGTCTCAGTCCGGCATGTACTCTGCAATAGATTAATTATTGATCAGTACATGATCTTCACAGCTCCACACACCAAAGTGCCTGACACCTGGAGGCCCCTCTTAATTACAAACACATGGGGACACAAAGGCCCTTGTAGGGTATGTGATCCCAGGGAACTGGGGTTTTATAAGACTCACTGAGCTCTAACTCCTTTTTTCTTTTGAATTCTCCTGGCTTCTAAGGCAGAAGAGTAAATCATTCCCTAGAATAAGGTCACCCTGCAGAAATAAGCCAGCTAACTAATTTGGGAATAAGGCAGGAGAGTCAGGAAACAGCAGAATCACACTTACTAAGCAATCGCTCTCACGCAAGTTCTTAAAAACTGTCTCACTCTCCCTAGATCCTCCAATATATGCTTCTAAAATCCCAAGAGACTTTTCAATCTTTGATAGAGGTTCTGCTGGGTTGTGGATTAATATTGTCCTCCCAAATTAGAGTATTTCTAAGCTGTCTAGTGACGCAGAACAGAGCAGCACTGGAGACGCACTGGACTGTCGTGCTGGTCTTCACAGCGGATGTGAATCACAACAGTCTTGCCCAGTGACTCCGGTGTGGGTAAGGCGATACGCATTGCCTAGTGTGGCTGCAGCGTGTGTGTCTTCTTCTTTGTGAGAGTGCACAGTGCTGTGAGTTCAGAGGGACACTCTTCTGAGGATGGAAGCTCTTGGATTCTACTCCTGCGCTTTGCTCAAGTGTGACCTGGAACAAGTCTCAAAACCTCTCTCGGTGTCATTAGGGTTGTCGAAGGCAAGGGGTATGAAACAGAAAGAGCAGCTCATTGGTATATTTGAGATTCCCTTGAAATTGACATAATGAGGGACACATTTCACACTATTGCCTATAAATCCAGAAGCCTAACTATGTCTTTGACATATCATTTTCCACAACCTACAGTATTTAGAATTCATTCATTTGACTACAACATGTAGTGGAACAAAATTACTTGGTATACAAATACTATAGGCAATAGGATGGGCCAAGAAAATAGCTCAGTGGACTAAGCACCTGCTTAGGCAAGTGCAGGGACTGGGTTTTGATCCCAGCACCACATGCCCTGCTGGCCCTGCCCTGGGGATGCTGAGCCAGCCACCAAAACTGGGCATGGTGTCATACATCTA